GGTGAGTTTTGTACCTGTGATTTGAATGGACCATGCATAAAAAAATCATAAGAATATTTGCACTAAGAGACAAAACCTGTCCCTGAAAAATCTTAACATACTTGAATCTCTAAAGTGTAATGTATTAAGAAGTAAATGGATTGAAGGTTTTGTCTTCCCTTTCTTTTCTTACTTCCTTTCTCCTTTTATACCTTTTTTCCTTTCCAGGACCTCTCTTTATAATATGATTTTTAATGTGCTGACAGATTTTTCTTTTGTTTGTTTTGTCTGCACAGTTGTTTTTGATGAGCAGTATACTCAAAGTGAACTAGTTCCAGCTACAAATCCCACTACTTGAAATAGCAGTATTGTACTTAAAGTACAGTACAATCAAACAGATTTTGCTAAACAACTAAGCAACATCTGAATGTAAATGTGAAGTATGCTGAGTCAGTGTGTTGTCTTTTAGGTCACTACGAAGGGCATTTGAGTAAAATGAATCATTTTTCAGTGTAATGTTTTTGCATAAAAATAGCTTTCCAAAAAAATATGATTATAAAAAGACCCAAAACATTAAGAATCTTGAGACCTCTTTTTACAAAAAGGCATTAATAAATAACATTCATCTTCAGAATTTTCTTTGGAAAGTTGGATCAATATAAGAATAGGAGGCCTTCTGAAATGTGAATTTCCCTCTCTGTGAGGTACTTCTTTCCAACTCGGGGACTTTTTCCTGCCCAGAGAGCTGGCAATGTTTTCCCCTTTTCCAATCCTAGAGATCAGGCCCTGTGAGCCATTTCCCCCAACAGGGCAGGCACTAGTTCTGCCCTGTCTTCCTTCCCATTGCAGTGGGAACATGTCCTCACCTCTAATTTCTTCCATGCTCAGCCTAGCTTAACTAAAATTTTATTTCCATTTTCAAGAGATTGTCCACTAAGGTTGATTGACACCCTGGTATAATTTTTAAATTTGTTAATAGAGTAAAACTATTGGCATGTACCTCTGGACACCAATATCCTAAAAAACATTTTTTTACATGCTTCTGGGGGAAAATTAACTTTTTTTCACTGAAAATATTTTCTTTTATGGTTATCTTGATCCCAAATTATTTTGTAAAAGAATTTTACTGTACTTAGTATGAAAGAGTAGAAAGAATGGTTTACTATGGCAGACATATGTAGGGTAAAGTCACAATTTATTAAACTGACTGTACAACACTATTTAGAGGTGATACTGACAAATTTTTATCAACCTGCTCATTTAGATCTGTAATTTCTCAAAAGAATGCTGGCTAGCATCTTCCCTACTTAGTATACCAAGTCGCAGGGGAGAGACTGTGTATTTATTTTTTAAAAAGCAATCCAATGGATTTGTTTTGTC